TCTGACCTGGTCATCTGGGCCAGCCAGTCTCTCTCTGCTGCTGGAGGGTTGAAGACGAAGATTGCCGAGTTTGTGGCAGCGATCGGACCAGATCTCATGCACTCGGTCTGTCTCGATCTCAGCTAGGGCCTTGGAGGCAAGAACCTGGGCATTGAAACTGTGTCGAAGTCAGGAGACTACAGTGGTGGCTACCACGATAAGTGAGCCTTGTGGATGAGATGTAGAAAATGATGTGACATTGGACATGTATGGATCCTTTGACAGCAAACTAAGTGACGAACACGATTCTTCCTATGTACTTGTGTCCGCTACGCTTTGAGTGAGTAAGTGCCATGCTACTCCCTCTTCAGGGGCTCGGAGCACATCTCAGGGGTTGGGCGTGAGCCACACAGCAAGCAGCCACACACGATCTGGCTCCACACCCCGCGAACCCCACCATGAAAGGAATCCCTGCACGTCAAGCTTTCGCTGCACTCAGGTCGACCTCAACTTTTTGCGACAAAAGCTCTATCCAGCGCCTGCACTCACCAGGCCCATCACAGCCCCCGCCAACCGATCTCAAAACACGACACACTCTCTTTGCGCCCCTCCACACCCAGAGAGAAAGCGACAGGCACACGCCCTGCGCCAGAGCCATCCACCATGGCCACAGCAGCGCAGCAAGTCCTGCTCTCTCCCGCCGAGCTCGCCTACCTCCACTCTTCCCTCTCGCTCACGCCTCCCATCCGACCCGATGGCCGCACACCGACCCAATTCCGCCCACTGACCGCCGAGACGGGCATTCTGCCGGGCACAAACGGCAGCGCGCGCGTGTGCTTCTCCGACGGCACGGAGGCTATCGTCGGCATCAAGGCGGAGCTCGAAAAGACGGCGACGCCGTACGGCGGCTCGGCGGACGAGGACACCTCGAGGATACGGCAAGGCGAACAATGTCGGAGGACGGCGGCACAGCCTCCAAGGGCCGCAGCGAGTGGCTCGAGATGACGGTGGAGATCCCAGGCCTGCGGGACGACGAGGCGAGCACCGTCTTTCCTGGCGAGCATGCTCAGCGAGGCGCTCCTCGCCGACGGCGAGTTCGCCAAGAAGCTCTACATTAACGGCGGCTTCCACTGGAAGCTCT